AAAGTTTGCTGTAATTTAATCAAATCGAGTGAAATGTGAGCAAAAGGTCAGTGGACAGGCTCTAAAATAAAGAAATCACTAAGACGTTATGCCTCTTCTAGTTATATAGCTACAATAGAAAAAATATGTACATTCATATGTATTTGACTAATGAAAAGAACTATTTGCACTTTGCATGAAGAACCATTAAAGATAAACTGTTACACAAAATAAGAGATACCAAGATATGTCACGTGGTCAGAAATGGATCGGATGATCACATGATCAGAAAATTGGTCCTACATGCTGTATTCGCGATCTACCTATACTCTTTTACTAATAACTCTAACCCTAAATCCTAACTTAACTATAAAAAAAAGGTCAACAAAAAAAGCCCCAAAAATTTTTAAAAATCGCATATAAAATAGATCCAAATTTCACTATCATCCAATTTCACGATCATCTGTGACATTAAATTTGCATACTAAAAAATAATTATTTTATTATACTTTAATTTTAAAAATAGCCTTAAGCTTTTGGTATAATAGATAATAAATTCAAAAACCATATATTAAAATACGACTTTTATATGTATTTTAATACTATAATGCGATTTAAAATTTTTAATAGATTTCAAAATATTCTGAAAACTTATAAGAAATTCTAAAAAAAATTCACATGTGCATGAAATTTAAAAATTGAGAATTTGCCCATGACTAGTAAGGTTCATAATAATAAAGACCATCTAAGTCAGGAACCTAGTGGCAGTAGGATCCTTGGTTCTCGGCCCAAATTTTTCACGCTTTCTTTCAAGTAGCCTTCATTTTTGTTGCGTTTCAGGTCGTGATACCCGTGATCCCAAATCTACACTTCCAATATACAGTACGCATGTACGCAATTTAAATAAATTGTAGTACATATGTAACACAATACTATCACCTTTAAATTATGCAAAAATTATTAAGCATACAAAAATATAATTAATTTTGATTTTAGCTTTCGCTATAAAAAAGTTTGCTTTATATACTGTTTTTGTTGGCAATATTAAAAAAATGTTCGGAAAGGAGACACAATAGGTATAAAGTAGAAAAGGCCATATATCAATGATATATTAGTTTTATCTTGTTTTTATACCTATAGCGACTTCTTTCCGAATATTGCTAGCAAAAACGAGATAAAATCAAGCAAACTTTTTTTATAGGGTTTTATAATAACCCAATTAATTTAATTAAATTTACAATGCTAGTCAAATTCGTAAACTAAAAATATCCTATTCGGTTAAAGTTGTCTCAATCCAAGAAATATTGTACATGCTGATACCTGAATTACATAACAGTATTGCGGCGAATTTATGAAATAACCAAAATATGAAACTTTTGACTACTAAGTAAACAATTAAGGTGCATAATAAAGTTCTATGTCCAATCGGGTTAAGATGCATCATTATAATAAAGTTCTATGTCTAACTGGGTTAAGATGCATTATTATAATAAATTCTATGTCTAATAAGATATGTCAAATGTGGGAAGATGGGGTTAGACATGTTATTAATCAAGGTCATTGGTCCAAAAAAATTTTTCAGGGTTTAACATTGATTTGTTAATATACAATTTGGTAACTAAAATTTAAAATTGGAACCAAATACTCAATTTGGTGACTGAATTTCATAAATTCGTAGTGGATCATATGTAATTATAAATATATTTTTTAAAATAAATGTTATTTACTAGCTCAAAACTAATTATTTAATAAAATTTGTTACAATTGGTTAAAATTACTTATTGACAAATATACTAGTTTTAATTTTTTATATTCAAATTTAACTAAAATAAATAACTTGTTTTGGATAAATATAATATATTTAATTTAAAAGATATTAAAATTATACGTAGTATAATAATTAGATTTAATTTTTTTAAAGAATATTTATTTGCGGGCCAAGTGAATCTAAAATTTTAATTAATTAAAGTGGCCCAGCTAGGCCAGCAAACATTTTTTAAAATTAAAAGCGGGCCAGGCCGGACCACAAAAATTGGTAATTTGCAGGCCTCTACCTGGCACAGAATGTTCTTTTAATTAGAAGTACAATCCCATATGCTCCACTCTGCAATGGTACCATCAAATAGCCAGCAGTAATCCTTATCATTAGTGAATGGCCCGCGCTTTTTTGGATCTTGTAAAGTGCCTTCTACAAAGAAAATCAATCAAAATATTTGTTTTTCATTAGGTACGTTCAAACTAAAGCCATCGTGAGCAGTTGACCATTCAAAATCATAAGTTTCATCAGAATCGTTCGGACCTTGGCGGGCAGTAACTTAAGCTCTTGTACCGGGAAACAATTTGTTGTGAATCCATATCATATGACCTGTATACATATATATTGTTAAACCAATAAATACATAATAATATTGAGACTATTGCTGCTATAATTATTCAAAAATTACCATCAATAAGCTGCACAAAAGTTAAGATGATGGCAATTATCAAGGTGAAAAGAAAAAAAAATTTCATGACAATTATAGAAAAATGGTAAATTTGGTATTCTGATAAAAAAATCACACTTCTTCACGAAATAGTAAATGAGTATGTTATGATGCTGCTTAAGATTGATCCTGGAGTATATCGATATATATATTGAAGATTTTGTACTGCATTATCTGTTATAGAAATATTTTATCTAGCCGTTACATCTCCATATTTAAAATTCTAAGCTGAATAATTTCGTGAAAATTTATTTAGCATCGAAACAAAACAGAAATTCATATCATTCAAAAAATAATCATCGATATGTAGAAACAAAAATTCCATGTAACACAGCTTCTAATTTAGACCATCCATACATGTTTTTAGGTTTTATATCCCAGTCAGGTCAGCAGAGCGAGAATCCTAAATTTTTATTTTTTTAATATATCAATAGAAATCTTCCACATGCATCATGTGAAAAAACAAAGTTGAATCGTCAAGTTTTTGCGAATAGTGACAATTTCAGTTCTTATTTCATCCTAATCTTTTTTGTATTGATCTATCATCATATAAGTGCCGCAAAGCTAAAACATGTAAACATGTAAATCATGATTTTTGGAAATTTCACTTTACAAAAACGGGCTGATCAGACATCAAATAAATGATATATAAATGTTATTTAATCTTATGAGATCTTTGCTAGGAAAATGACCCTCCGAGGCTATGTTAATTTAACGACAATAAGATTTTGTTTAATGTTTATTTCCGAATTTGCCTAAGCATTTAACAGCTTTCATTTTCATGTATTCCCGTGGGCTGCCACTTTTCCTTTTTAAACTAAAAAGGGAATTGTTACTTTTAACATTTATATATATATATTGTACTGTACTAGTATCTATTATACCTGCCATGTGATAATGTACATATGTACGTACGTACGTTGTGACAGAAAAAATCAGTATAACTACAAAAACTAAGCTAACAAGGATCGCTAGCATCAGGAAGTCAATTATTTGTAAACTCTACATAAGTCTACAAGTTTATATAAAAATATATAAAATAATATATAAATATTTCTTTTTTTTTTTTAAGGTGAGATTTTGCCTTTATCTTTATTAATTTGTATTAGATAACTACTAGGAGTTATCACTGGTCGAAGCCAATTTACAAATTTGTACAAGAATGAGACTCAGACTATAGATTATTATCTAATTTATCTGCAACCTAAACCTACTAAAGTGGTTAAAAAAGTTATCTAGATTTCGAACAAGTAAAAATTCATAGAAAATAGCAATTTGAAAAAAGGTAAAAATTTATAGAATATTAAAATATAACAGTATAGCAGTGATGTATATTATTAGAAATAATAAACTAATATAAAGGATATAGATTGTTGAGTTTATTGCTAATTATAAGTACAGTCGTGCTCCCATATAATCACCCAATTTACCTAGCACTTTTTGGTGATTATATAGAGGGGTGATTAAATAGAA